CGAACACTCTAGTGCTCCCTGACAGGAGGACACCTGGAGAGGTAAGAGTTCGAAAACAATCGGATATATAATGTTTTTACATGAACTGCCTTCTGTCATTGCGTTGTGCTTAATTGCATATATAAGGACTTTGTACAGAAAACAAACTGCTCAAAACAAACTAAACCAAGTCTGTTTAAGTTTGAAGCTCATCATTTGGATCTTAAACGTTAGTCTGACTTTAATTACAGATGATGTCTTCACTGGACGGTGTTCACTGAATGGAGATGTATTCAAGTCAGAGCTCCAAAGGGCTTATAGTTTCTCTGCTATGATATGTTGTCAAAGGCCATACAGCAAAGTTGTGTCTGTGCTTTCCACTCGTTTGTAATTTTCAGGCCTATGGCTGATATATATCAAACATTTGAAATAGATAAAACTGTTAATTCTATGTAAAAAACAAATAATAGGAAAATTGAAGTTGCTGGTGTTTTTTGTTGACATGTGAGTATTGAGATTAATACCATCGATAAGAAAAAGACAAGCAAAATGAATGGTTGCAATTACTATCCACAAAGTTTTTTTTGTTCATACAAAGCATATATAATTGCATATTAGTTTTTTTAGTTAATAGTATATCAACATTTATCCTTGTACCCAATTACCTCTGGGTGTCAGTATTACATTGGGAAACTATGATTATTCGTCCCTCCCCTCATAAAGCTTTTGTTTGCCGGCTGAAAGAAGCATAGAAGGAAATGTAATCGAGCTTGCCACCCCACGGAATGATGTTGTGCAGTTTATTAAATATGCGACTCACGATGAGTTTGACATAGACTCGTATTGCAGCAACGGGTTTTTGTGTATTTGTTGTTGGAAAAAGATGGGGATCCAACGACAAACTCAAAGAAGGGTTTGCTCCTGTTTTGCTTTTCATTTGGCTCTCCTGTTGTTTGTCGGAATACGGGCTTCGGCAGAAATCAGATACTCTATTCCAGAGGAGGTACAAGATGGAACTGTTGTTGGAAATGTTGCGAAGGATCTTGGCCTTGACATCACCGCTTTGTTTGGCCGACGGTTCCGTGTTGTTTCTGAATCCAAGGATGTATTTTTTGAGGTAAACCAGAACAATGGGGCTCTGTATGTGCATAAGAAGATCGACAGAGAGGAGCTCTGTCACGGCGGTGGTGCATGTCTAATTGAGCTGAAAGTCATAGTCGAAAATCCTTTGGAAATACACTACGTAGTTGTAGAAATTACTGATGTAAATGATCACTCTCCTAGTTTCCCCGAAAGGGAACAGATATTTGAAATAGCTGAGCATACATTGCCAGGGAAGCGATTCCAACTGCACACTGCTCGTGATCCCGATGCTGGAATTAATTCTATTCGCACATACACTTTGACGTCAAACGACCACTTTGAAGTAGACATCCGTCAAAGCGATGAGGACAAAATACCATTTTTAGTGCTGAAGAAATCGTTAGACAGAGAACAAAATAACAAACACACTCTACAGGTTACGGCAGTTGATGGAGGTAAACCTCCAAAATCCGGGACACTAAATGTTTCTATTATTGTTCTTGACATTAATGATAATCGTCCAATGTTTAGTCAGGAGATTTACCAAATTGTAATCCAAGAAAACGTTCCCATCGGTACTTCAGTATTTAGAATGAATGCTACGGATCCCGATGAAGGCCCCAATGGGGAAATTGAATACAGCCTTGGAAAAACTCTGAAGAAAAAAGTATATGACATTTTTGAATTGGACAAATTAACTGGAGAGATTAGAGTAAAAGGACGAGTGGACTATGAAGAAAACGACGTTTATAAACTTGATGTTGAGGCATCCGATAAAGGAACGCCTCCACTGACAGGTGAGTGTAGAGTAACTATAAAGATTAAAGACGTCAATGATAATCCACCAGAAATAGAAGTCA